ATAAGTACTGGGAATGTTGACAACACTGCTAAATATGTGGCCACTGGAATTTAATGAACTGGTCTAGAATAAGTTGGCATGCCTTTCTACACTTTTAAGTACTTACAGCATCATGGCACATGTGCTCATTATATCATGAGCACCTACTATGTGCCCTTTCTATGTAAGAGAACAAATACAATAGGAGAATTCAGCTCATAGGTGTAAGAGCAGATGTATAAGTTGACAATATATGTAACAATTACTGCATAGTGCTGTGTGAGACACGCAAAGTGTGATAGGAACACAGGGAGATTATCAGGGAGAGAAAGGCAAAAAAAAGTTGCCATATTTTTGGGTCTTACAGGAAATGTGGAAACTCCCAGGCAGCAAAGGACAGTATTAATGGAAGCAGAAATAGCATACATTAAAGTTTAGTAGAAGCAAAACCTCAGAAATGCTGGGAAACTAGCTGGTCCATCCATGTTCATCTATTGTAATGTGGGTGGTTGGATTCTATGGTAGAATGAGAATTTGTGGTCACATGTGCAGAATGTTCTATGCCTTACCAAAGTGTTTGGGTTTTATCAGAGGATCCTAAGCAGATATGCATTTTGGAAAGATAAGGCTGGCAGCAACATAGACAGCATATCTAAGAGAATATTAACTTTAAATAGTTACAATTATGACTACCACTATTATACCTTCTTCACTCATCACCAACTTCTTAGTGTTAGAATTAAAACTTACCTGAGTGCCTAGTTTGTGGGCATACAAAATGCTTGAAACCTACTGCCTCAACTCATCCTCAGAGCCATTCTGTGTGGCAGGCATTAACATTAACCATATTTTATATATGGCATAGAGACAGGTTAGAAAGAATTTCCAATCTAACACAGATAGTGGTAAAGTAACATATGAATACAGGTGGTCTGACACTGGAGCCCACAGCCTTAACCAATATGTCATTACTTGAAAGTATGAAAGTACTCCTAAGGAATGGCAGGGAACTAATCTAAGAGGAGAAAAATCAGAATGAAAGAAAATTGAGATATATTTAATAGATGTAATTGTAAGAGTTCGTGACTTCAATAAACAACAGCAAGAAAACAAACATGTAACAAGAAGTTAAGAAAAAACAACTTTTAGAGGAATCAGAGACATCTAAATTAGTTGACTTGATGTGTTGGTGTTATTACTTCAAATAAGAAAGAAATACCAGTTTAAGAGGTGAAAGACTATATTATTCATGAAACGTACTGTGGGTTAATTTTAAATTACTACCCAAAATCTGAACCCCTTCCTATATTTGGAAAACCCGAGAGAGTGAGAGTCCACTGTGAAATGTGGCAAGGTCAAAGATTGTCGTCCAAAATTCTGGTAGCATGTAACCTGAAATGCACCAAGGAATTTGCCTCTATAGTTAGTGATGCAAAAAGGCTTGGATAGGTGGAATTCACTCCTGTTGGGAGATTGAATATTTAGAGTCACTGGAAGAGGTAGAAAAGGTGTGTTATAATGACACCAATAGCAGCGTCACTATCAAGCCGCAGTGACTGTAGTACCCTAGCAAGACTCTTCCTGCACTCTGCTATTCTTCTGTGTATTGACTTCCTTCCCATTTTCTAATAAACGCTCTGTCAATTCCACAAGTTCCACAATACGTTTGCAGTCAATTCTTTTTTCTTTTAAGTTAACCTGAATCAATGCCGGTTGATTGAAACCATTCTTATACTAGTTAGGTACAGATGGTAATAAGCATAGCTTTCAAACTGTTAATATGTGGAGTTATGTACTGAGTTCTCAATTTTCTCCAGGACATACAAGTTAAGATGCCCAGGAGACAGTCTGTACAGAACATGCCTGGATGACTGCCTACATGAGGGCCTTCAAGCTAACACCATGATTGAGGAGCACCACCAGCAGAAACATGAAGGGAGATGTTCAAGGACAGAGCACACGCAAATGCCAGCATTTATGATTTATGCAAAGATTAAGGTGTGAAAACAAAAGACCTAAGATGGAGTGGTCAGTGGTCATAGAAGTAATTCACGAAAGTTGTTTTATGAAAACTTGGGAAGGAGAATGGTAGCAATGTCATCAATTTCATCAGAAAAAGAGGACTGAAAAGATGTCATGGGATTTGACAATAAGTAATTGCTGGCATCCTTAGCATAATAGCTTGCCTTAATTTTATAAGTGATTCTGAGATCCTTAAGTTAAATAAGTAGTGTGGGGTGACCCACAGTGATCAACAAAACTTATCACTTCTTTTTCCATCTTCTCTCTCTCTTCCTCTCTCTCTCAGCTCTTTCTAGGAAGGAGCTCATGTTGGCCTGGGACTGGTAATAGCAGCAAATAATGAAAAGGCAATATGATAAATGAGTGGAGTTGAGGTGATGAAGGGATCTACTAACTGTGGTGACTATAAATGTATATATTTTTTGTAATAATGGGAATGGAATCCAGTGCCTTGCATGTACTAGGCAAGCAATCTGCCACTGAGCTACAATCCCAGTCCTTGGAAAATCATATGTATTTTGTTACATCACTCAGGCCCTTATATTTCTGGAATTTATACCCAGCTCCCCAGGACACAGATTATAGATACATCTGAGATTGAGAGAGGTTTTGTAGTTTGTGTGTGTGTGTGTGTGTGTGTGTGTGTGTTGGTTTTGGTTTTTCTTCTCTTGGCTTGGAAACCTATGATCTCAAAGCGCCAGAATCAAGAACAGACCAGAACTACTTGTTTATGAAAACATGTTCAGTTATATAAAATTTCTATCATTTGTCCCTTTAAGTATTTGAACATCACCACCTCCCACCTCCCGCCACACCGCCCATTTCCCTTGTTACTTTGAAGTTGCCTGCTTTACTTCTTGGCTAATTTCTGTCTTTAATAATAATCCATCAACGTTTTGTAGCTTCTTTAAAAGTCATGTTTGACTTAACACGACTGTCAGTTTCTCTCTGCCTTCTGAATGCCTTCACTAATCATCTCCAACATTTCTCTATCGGATTATTTTATCCTTTTTGAGGATGTTCTTATTCTCTTTCATCTTTTCACAAATTATGTAATAATTTATTAGACTGTGAGTACATGATGCACAGTGAATGTGAAGTCCCATTTTGAGTAAGTCACCTTTCTCTCCAAAGCCAGTCAATCCTGCTTGTATATTTCAAGAGCTCTTAAATTGGTGCCCACAGGGCTTTTAGGAGGTTCAAGGGAGGTGTCAGATAGCACTGAACATTTTTGGAAGTGTATGTTAAATGACATTGCCAATTATTCTATTTGAAGTTAAGAAACTGAGGCACAGAGAGATTAAGGGACATTTCCAAACCCAACAGCCGTACAGGCTGTTCCTGTTGCTGAGAATGGTGTGCTATACTATTCCTCAATCAAAGACATTTCCCACTCTTCTTCGGTTCCCTTACTTACTCCCCATAGCAGTAACTACAATCCATGGATTCTTGCTGGTAAAGAATCATTCAGCTCTACATCTTCTCCATTACCATGTCCAAATAACCTAAATTTAGGCCATCCTTATTGATCCCCTGAAATTACAGTAATAGAGTATTCCAGTTCTGTCTTGTCTCCAAAGTGAATGATCTTTTCAGAAATGCAAATCTCACCTGCTTATAAGATTTTAAAGTATTATTTTTCATCTATTTAAACAGTATATAAAATCTTTAACAGGGTGTATAAAATGTGGTCTTTCAAGATTGGCCCATTTACTTCTCTCCATTTTCTTTCTTTCCTTTTTTCCTCCTTCCTTCCTACCTACCTTTCTCCCTTCCTCCCTCCCTTCTCTCTCTCTCTCTCTCTCTCTCTCTCTCTCTCTCTCTCTCTCTCACACACACACACACACACACACACACAATCTTACTCATAACCTTTGTCTACCCATCACCATCTTTCAGTAGTATTTCCTGTACCCCAGATTAAGATCTTTGTCTTACCCTTCTCTCTCAAAAATTTTCTCTTATACTTCCACTCTTGAAATTATAAACTCTTAATTTCTATGTAACTAATTTTCTTTAGCTTTTTAAATCTAAACCCAAATTCAGAAGCTTTCCATAACTCACTCTACCTTGAATGAGCTCATGTCTGATCCCTCTTTTACCCTCTCATGTCTTATAATAGTTTATGGTATTGTACTTCAGTAAAGGATTGGAGCTTCCTGAAATCTCATTGACAACAACAATTCTCTTTTCTCTCTGGATACACAAATAGTAAAGAGTGCCTGAAATACCGCAGATACTCAGTAAATGAATGGAGAATCAAGAATAAAAGGTGAATATAGCTTACTTAATTAATTTAATTGTTTGGACTGGATAACTGAAACGCCCAAGTTTTTTCTTAGCTTTTAATCCATCAATCCAAGTGACAAATTCAATTCTAAATTCTTACAACCTACATTTTCATTCAATTTATGAAAAATGTTTTTTATTTTGAATAAAAATATTTCCTCTCTTAAATGTCTTATAACTACAATAATAAAAGTCTAATCCTTTTTAATTTAATGTTTATTTTCCCACCATGCTTTCTTGATGGACAAATGACAGGAATTTGTCCCCATCCCTAAATTTTAAGGTTAGGAAATGATACAAAAAATATAAAACACAAGCCATCAGCTGTCCAGATCACACTTAATAAAAGATTAAATTATATATAAAAAGCTGCCTATTAAATTATTTATAATTAAATTTTATAATTTCTTCAATAAATTTGATGGATCTTAAAAAATACAAATTAAAAGAGTAAATACATAAAACAAGTCTAACTACAAAGAGACTACATCAAATGGTGATCAAAATGTCAACATAGATTTTGATGTTAAGCTTTAAATTTCTTTTTGAGCTTCTTGACAGAGGGCAAAAATCATAGATACTTATATGGTGTTTTGTCCAAGAAGAAAAAAAAAAACATTCAAAACAGGAAATAAGAGAACTTACATATTATTAAAGCTCATTTTTCTTCCAATTATTTTTGGACAAACAATAAGCATAAAATCCTTCAAAGTATATATTTATCTGCATGACCTTAGCCATCAGACATGATCTTGATGAACAAGTATCTCCCTGTTTACAAGAAGACAGGGTCAGACTACCTGTTATTTAATATCTTTATTAGCTTGTATTCTGTGATTTTTAACTTGGGCATTAAGATGGATATGTATTTTATCATCTAATTTAGTGTGAGTTATTCAGCAAAGCTCTTGAATTACTCTATCACATATTTCCATTTCTATTGTTATATGTTTGAAGAGGAATAAAGTTGCTTTGGAACATTTGTAATCAATAATCACTGAATAAGAAAGCAAACAGCACCCTAGATTAAGACTGTGTCTCTATTTCAAAGGTTTCTACCAATTGCCTAAAGCACTTGGGAATGAACTATAGGTTTACCTCATCAGGATAAGGATATTAGTCAAGCTATTTTGGCAGACAGAGATCCTAATGCTCCCAGTATTCTACCACATGCCCCATTGGGGCTTCATTGTTTTCAACAACAAGATTTTCATTAGCTTAAGGCATTTTGTTATTCTGTTTGGTTCACTGCTCAGGTGTGGAATCACTGAACTCAATTATGCCTTCCTGCTTAGTGTTTTGAAGTATGGCTTTACTAAGGAGATGCTCGTTAGGAAAACTTCCAATGTCTTCTGAAATGTTCCATATTTTATCTTATTTGTTGTGAAATAATAACCTTATTTTTAGCAACAGTAATGATAACAATGATAATAATACTATATTATAAAGTCATCTGATCCTGTTCCCTGTTCCATTTTGTGGAAACATAAATGCAAAACAATGTATTAATATTCTGGTAACCATCAGTTGGAATTGTTGTAACCATTAAATTGGATCCTACTGTGGCCACTGGATTGGAGTGCTACTGCTGAGCTATAATATTTACTTGTATAAGGCCAACTGAATCTGAATGAAAGAGAGTTTCTGTCCATGTTACTGAAAGCAAATAGTCTCCCAGAGGATTTGGTACTGAACAAGTTCAAAGGAACCTCTTATGTTGAATCATGCATATATTGTAATGTCTCTAATAAATCAATTACTTTTTGGCAGCAAAATGTCACAGCTTTTAAAATTCTGATAATCACCTCCACTTTGCAGAGCTTTAGGCTGTTAAAATCCACACAATCTAGCATTCTCCTAGAATGCATCAAGGAGAAGGTTAAGTAACAAAGCAATAATGAAAAAAACTTCAGACATATATCCTTGACCAAGATTCAGAGAAGCAGAAATCTCTCTCCACTCTCAGAGTCCTCAATGATATACAGGTAAAATACCACAAGTCAAATATATCTGGGAGGAACCTCTTCCTGCAGTGTACTATTTGAAAAGTATTGAAAATAATTTCTCAAATTTTTATTATTTGTTAAACTCCAGCATATGCCTGGCATCTTTAGGTACTTGTATAATCCAATGTTACACCCTTCAAATCAAAGAAGGTGACAATATCTTCTACTCATTATATTGCAAAAGGAGAAGAACCTGTCTTCAACTTAAAAGTGTTTTGTCTCCTATAGAAATGAAAACTCTAAAATATATTTTTTCTCTTTTCTTTTTGCCTTGGAAGTTGCTTCTATATCTGTGACTGACCAATATGCTCCAAACCCATCTCTTAAAATTGCCTACTTTTAAAAAAATTACCCATCCTTGTGCAAATAGCCCCACTTGAGGCACTGTACCTGACTACTCTCTCTTGGGTATGAGAAGCTATATGTGTTTCCCAGGGACAAATGAATGAGAAAGTTCATTGCAATACAACACACATTATTTTCTACATATACACACACATTTGGAATATGTTTTTATATAAAAAAAATCTTTTGTAAATTCATTCATTTGGGCTTTCTTTAGTGTCAAGCATATTTTGGAACCACACTAAATGGTGATGATACAGAAATAAAACAAACAAGAAAACCTGGTTCCTATGTTAAATGAATAAATTAAGAGTAAGCGGAATAGCTACAGGATAGATAATTATAAAATACTGTAAAGAATACTGCAATCATGATAAAAATTAAGACCTCTGAAAGTTCAAGGAGGAGGCCATAAACATCCTTGAGATTGAATGGTGTGGGGTGTGGGAATGTCTAAGGGTAGATTTTCAAAACATGTGGTTAATTTTCATCTTACCAAACAAGATTTTTGTTTTCATGCTGACAAGTATGGGAGAATATCAATTAAAAATTTTTGTTACATCTTCCACAACAACTCGAGACAAGGTGGTCTCTGAATCTCCCTCTCTGCAAAACCAGAGAATTAATTCTTCATCATCCAGGTAGATTATGTTCTCATCAGTTTCAAATTGACATGAAGCTGGTTGGGTTTTTCCAATTTGAGGTTCTTATGCTTATGGTAAAAAACAGGGTATGGATGAATGGACATGATATTTGTGTGAGTGGACTGTGTTAGCTGACAGAGATGAGGGCTGAGAATGATAGGATAGTCCTTGTGGAATTGAGAGAATATCATAGGCTGAAGTGCACAGGATATGCGCCCTCCACCCACACCTTTACTTGGAACCAGGCATATCCCAAACTTCTAATTAAAAATCTTAAATGTATGTACTTCCAACTAAATCATTCTTTAATACCAGATCTGGGAAACTTTATTATCCACTCTATTTGCAAAGCAGCAGCCTCCCACATCCCAAGTTTCAATGTTCCTGAACTCCCCAAAGCATGCTGTAGGGAAAAAGTGAAGGTCCTTGGTCCCTTGGTTCAGAACAGCCATATCAGATAAATGTGACGTCTTGTTATCCAGAAATATCCATCTAAGAAGAGAAGAGAATTTGATTATCATGAATTCTCCTCCATACTCCTCTTCTTGCCTGACAATAACCTCCCTCTCCAGAGCAACAATAATCTGAACACAAACAGACGTGAAGCTTTTCAAAAAGTAATGAACTCTGAGGCACTGGAGCCAAGGCAATCGTGGTTTAAATGCACGACTCCAGCAACCTAGAGAGGCCATCAATTATACAGCCCAGCCGTCGAGGAAGAAAAAATAATATTTCAAAAAGTCATTGCCAGACACAGAAGAGAATGAAGAAACTGCCACAGAAATCACACCATTCAGAGTATGCAGTTCCAAGAGGATGACTGAGCAGAGATGAGTAGCTAAATACTGCCAAAGGCAGCCATCTCTCTACAAGAGAGAGGATAGAGTAGGACACAGTGACTTTCCACTTGTCCTGTCCCTCTGCCAACACACCTGAGTTCACGAGTCCACTTGAATCTTTTTAGCATCATTTTCTATTACCTCTATTTCAGATAGAAAGGTGCATTTCACTTTACCAATCCACTGCAAACATTTTTGAATGCCTAAAACAATATATCACCTCAGCACAGGGATTCATTTGTTTACAAAATCAGTACTCATCTATGATGTGATTTTATTTTTAAAATTACTCCTTTTAAAAGGAGGAGAAATGTTATTATCATGCCTATTTTTCAGATGACAGAGTTGAGACTCAGAGAAGGAAAATGACTTACCAAAGCTACTAAGAGCCTAGTTGATGATCCTAGAATGTAGGAAACCACTGGTAAGCATTGTTTGTTTGTAATTTTATTTTGCAAATAAAACATTTTGAAACTAAATCATTAACTATCATTCAATCATAATTTGATCTTGTTAAGGCCTGTTTTCACTGCTTTCCTTTATTGAAGAAATTCTATTAGAGGCTAATGTAGGACCAAACATGTTCATAAGATGGCATACACCCAAAGATTGTATGACAAACTTTGGAGCTAAATAATTATGAACTGCTTTTTGTTTGTTTGTGTTTATTCTTTAAGAATGACATTCAAAAAAGTAGAAAAAGTTCACAGCTTAAGAGAAAGGTTATTTCTGTTTAGTGGGTGATATCCTTAAAAGTCAATGCTCTATTTTACATAAGGACAAGACTGTGGATAGAAGATAAATTCTATAGCTGGGGGGCTGACTTCTCATTTTATTTTCATTCTACACTTTTGGGCATGAGTCATATTTAGTGAGTGTTACTTTCTTCATTTAGAAAATTGAATTGATAATACTTGCCCTACTTACTTCATAAACTGGTTATGATAAAGGATGTGGAAACCACTTTACAAAGTCAGATACATACAAATATTATAGATGTATTGATTTAAATAACTGTCCTCCAAGAACTCTAGGGATCCTTTGTGGAGAGGAGAAAATGCTTGGTCTACTATACTTCTGGTGGACTCCATAAAATAACAAGAATTGGGGCAGCAATCCTAATTTTTGTTCATATTGCATACAGTTTTGTGATTTAAAAATACAAAGGGAACAGATAGAGATAGTTAAAAGCATGACATTTGGAGTCAGAACAGAACTATGCACTCACAGACAATCAAACAGATTACTTAATCTTTCTAGGTTTGATTCATTAGTCATACAATGGGAATGATAAGGGGATTTAACTCATAAGCTTCTTTTAAAGTTTAAATTACAAATGCATGTAAAGAACATAAGCAGCACCTGGAAAAATATATGGAGGCACTTATAATAATTATCTGTATTATTACACGTTGCTTTTGTGTAACAAAAGTTAGGTGGATGTAGTATTATTTCCCTCTCTTCTGGATGTCTAGCATCAGACACTAACTGACCTCTTAGGGTACTGTGAGGGTTAGCTAATGAATTGTGGGGGAGAACCTGTGCAGTGCTCAGACACTGAGAATTACATGACAGCATGTGAGTTGCATGGCTTTTTATACTAGTCCTTTGGTATTACAATTGATCCTGCCTGGTTTCCTCCTACATTGATCTGTTCAGAATGCTCTTGACACAAATGCAATTTTCTGTGGCCAGCAATCAAATTCACCAATCACACATGGCAAAAGCGATCGAAACAAAGGGCAGAAGTTGTGCTATTTCCAGCACAAACGATCAGTTCCTGAGTTTCTGACAGCATCAAATGGAAAAATCAAAATAACTTGAGACAGAAATAGCCTGAAGACCCTGGGTCTTCAACCCATTTGCAATATTCCTATTCGACCTGGAGTCGCCCACTCTGCACAAATAGGAAATTATATATCTTGTGAGGCTACATGCTGGGGAGAATTAGGAGTTGGCATGGAATACAGCTGGCCTTGCTAATAATTATTCCTGCTTTTAATTATTGACATTTCAGTAGCTCTTAATAGTCTCATTCTGCATAGGCCATAGTACTTCAAATGAGGGTTATTTCTAGCCATTGAACACACTTTCCTGAAGTCCTGTCATTTGAAGAGAAGGCTTGAATGCCCTGAACACATTTTCTGACCATTTGTCTACATATTCCTAGTAGTAGATATATCTATAAAAGGTGTAAGAAAGATGAGAAGAACCAGAGGAGAAGTAGAGAAGGTTTGAACAGATCATTTTGTTTTTGACCTTGTGGAGATTACAATATTACTCTGTATGAGATCTGTTTTAATACTTTATCAACTCTCAATTAGTAGAACCCTAAATAAAGACAGGTAGTATCATATATCAAATGATCTCTGTGCTCACCCCAGCAATAGCTGATTGGTCCAAAAGTGGTCACTTAATTCAAATGAAGACAGAATGCTTGATTTTCTGCTAATTTGGACTTAAAGCACAAAAACCAACTCAGTTTACTACAGTCTATCAAATCATCTATGAGGCAGATCAAGGCCACTTAGGTGAGGGTCTGGTGGAGATCAGAGAAACTCAACTAAGAGATTCAAGACTCCACCATAAGAAGCACCTTTGCACTTATTTCAGCAATTTTCTTATGCATAGGAAATGAAATAAGGAGACCAAATAGCAAGAGAAACACAGAAAGTTTCACTGAAGGAAGTTTCCTTCTTATAGAGAGTCCTGTTCTTCCTGTATTTTCTTCCTCTAAGTCTGTCTCATTGTTACAATAAAAATCTTTAAAATATTTAAGTGAATTCTTGTAATTCAAATGGATATTTACCCATGATGAAGACTGGATAGTGGAAAAATGAAGAAAACAAAAGGAAGACAGAAGTATTAGAAGTAAATGGAAGGGCAATGAAATGAACTGATTTTCTATGTCTCTCTAAAATTCAAATGTAGAAGTCCTAACTATCAATGTCTTTAGGAAGTGATCTAGTCCTGAGGGCAGAGCCCTAATAAAAAGAATTAGTGCTTTTATAAAAACAGCTGAGAGATACTTACATTCCTTCTACCAATTGCATTTAGAGAGAGAAAATGCCATCTATGAATAAAGAAGTGGTCTCTAATCAGAACAGAATCTGTTGGTGTCTTGACCTTGCACTTCTCAGCACCAGAACTGTGATAAAAAAAAAATCTGTTGTTTGTAGGCCACCCAGATTATGTATTCTGTCTTGCCTGCTTAAATGGACTAAGATAGAAGATGAAAAGTCAGAGAAAACACTTGCAGAGGTGACTAGGTGACAATCAGTGTACATGCTTTCTTGAACTCTAAGATTCTGTTGGCCTGGAGAAAAAAAAGTCATCTAGCATCTGAAGAAGCAAGTGAAGACACTAGAATCTAACATAAAAAGAAAGAGGAAGTATTAGATATTCATTCAACAACCAATGTTTATTGAAAAAAAAAAGATCTGACATTCAGTGAAGAATACTCACACTCAAAAACGTTACATCTTTTGGGTTAAGAGACACTTGCAATATAATGAGGCGAACACAATGATAGATGTGGGTGATACTTGCTGCATTTAGTCAGGGGAAAAAGAAGACTTCAGGAATATAATAGACATTTTCAAATATTGTAATCCCCAACTTGAGGTCAGGGACCATTTACCACTCATTTTTCTATTCTCAACATTTGCTATAATACTTGACATACAAAAGGTGTTTAGCAAATATTTGCTGAAATGAATTAGAGAAAAGATTGAATGCTTTCTAATGGTAGGTATTTTACCTAATTTCAATCCCCCTCACAATAAACTGATGAGTGGTTACACTCAAGCTCTTACAAATGAGAGTGCAAAAATTCAGAGAAATTAAATAGTCCATGGAAACATATGCAACTGCCAATATTCAGTCATTTTGTCCTATCATTGGTAGATATATACATAGATAAAAAGATTAAAATTCATAATTTCTAACTAAAAGCCAAATGGGTTTTATTACCTGAAAGAATTCAGTGTATTCTATATGGTTCTAAAACAAACCAGTCAAGAGATAGATATATGAGATAAATAGGTTTGGGGGTATATGTGAGTGTGTGTGTGTGTGTATGTGTGTTTGTGTGTATGTTTGTGCATGTGCATTTCTAAAGGAAGCAAGATCTACATGAGTAGGATGTTAGCTGCCCATCAATACAGAGTGTTCAAATGACCCATAAGCATTATCTATCTACCTATGTACCTATTGCAGAGAGAATTAAAGTTTTGGAAATGGGATCATAAGAAGATATATAATTTGAAATTCCCATGATCTTCAAAATAACATCTCTTATTCCTTGCAGGCCCAAGGGTATTAGTGACATGTGGCATGTTGATGAAAATGGAATTGAGATTCTTTTACCTGGACTTTCATAGTCTCTGTCAATATTCCCCAAGAAACATCTTTTCAATGCATCTGTTATGCTGCATAGGCTATGTCAACCCTTGGACCTTGGCATATAAGTGTTTGCTTTGACAAGTGTCTATGACCAGCCTGAATTAGTACCACACTCTCTCTTTCCCAGAGTTAAGAATGGATCAAAGTCATTCCTTTTCCTAAGCATAGTTTCAGCCAGGTCCTGGAACAACTTCCTAATATCTGATTTCTAGAGAACAGGATGTAATAGTCACAGAGAGAAATATGGGATGGACTGAAGTCCAGGCAGAGAAGTATGAATGACTGTCTAAGAACATTTGTGCAAAAAGCAACATGCCCCGTGCCTATTTGAACAACTCCATAAATATTAACCCCCATTTTTCTCCTGTTTGTTACTGTCAAAGACAAAAGTATAATACCTTCTGCTTCCTGTCTTCTTAATTGTCACCTCTACCAAACTTTAGGTCAATGAGTGTTGGTCTGGGAAGATATCTAGAATTGGGAATTCAACCAAGATATCACTCTGGCTTGTCTAACTATTTGAAGATATCTGAATCTACCAGAAAGAATTTTGTGAAGTGTCAGGGCACCATTCTGCATTGGATTTGCTACAGGTGACCAGACCAGGGAGAGAAGAAATGGAAATATGGAGCCAGAGGCCCTGAGTAAGCAAAACATCAAAGGCTTCTATGATTATAATCTCTGACTCAAATCCTAGTAATAATAGGGACCAAAAGAAAAGAGGAGCTGTGGATGAACAAAGGATTAGATAATATTTGAAGCTCCATAATACGCAATTCTAAAATCAATGCAGCATACCATTTGCTTACTCAATAATTTTTGAGATGTGAATCTAAAATATCTTCCCTGCATGATCATCTGAATCCCAACAAGAAAAGTTTCTGTGTCTGGGACAAGTTTAAAGTGAGGGTTTCCTTCAGACAAGCAGTTGTTTCTGCAGTGCATTGGCAAGACAAACTACTTCTCATCTCTAGTCTCCTCCCTTCCCTGCAGGCAGATTTCTCTCTGGCCTTGAGTTGACTTAAAGATTCCCCAGGAGAACTGGCCTGAAAATCAGTTCTAAAAGCCAAAATAGAAAAAAAGAAAGAAAAAAAAAGGAGAGCCAGATTAAAGTATCAGCCTAGAATTTATGCTCTGGACTTAAGGTTTAATAATGCAACAGAAAATCAATATTTAATAAAGCAAATGATGGAGAAAAACACTGCCTGGGAGATGAGGCTGCTTCACTGTTTTCAAACGTCTCAGTCCCAAAGGAGGGTGAGTTGGCAGGATGGATTGGAGACCAGGCTGACAAGAGAATCTGGCATGCAGACAATCGCAGGTCCCATTGATTCCTATTTTGTTATCTTGTGGGCTTGCTGGCCATTTTTATTAAAAGACTAAAACAGAATTACAATGAAAGTGCTATGAGATACTCAATAGAGTAGGGGCAAATGGACCAAACTAGACTTCAATTAGCAGCCCCAGTATAATCGTTATTTATACCAGGAACCATCAAAGTTCACACTCTATTTGGAGAAAAGGGAGGGGAGGATGAGAATTGGAATTGGAGCTCTTTAGGTATATTCTAGAAAGACAATATCTGATGAGTAGTACTGGCCTAACATATCATGGAATGAGAATAGCAGCAGAGTCCAGCTATTCATCACGAGTAGCCTCTTGAACAGTGGTTTGCACTTAGTAGGGATGGAAAATGTCACTGACTAATTAAAGCTCCTGAGAAGACAAGGTCTAGGAATGCAAAGTTCCTTAGGTTCTCTCTGATTACTATGTGGATTGCAAAGCATTTCTGAGCTTCAAGAATACTGAATTTCATTATATGGTTCTCCACACTGCTTCCTTTATAGCTATTAGAATATTTCTGGTTAGTCATTTTTCATTAAAGGTTATTCTTCCCTTTGATGGTCAAACAGTCTTAATACTGTCTATTTATTTCTGTGTAGGTATCTAGGCCATAGTTCATTTGAGATTCTTTTTGGCTAGAATCTCTACCTAGCCAGGGAAGAGAGTTGTGAATATCCACCTGGAAAAGCTCTTTGTGTTTTCTAGTATTGAAACTATGCATGACTATGTATGTACAATAAGTTATGTTGAGTTATTTTGTCTTTTCTCCATCTAAGGCTCCCAGAGTAGCTGAGTAAAAGTAGAGACAACTGAAGCCAATATGTTGCTCATAACCCAAGAAGCCTCAGGCAAGGTACGTGATAGCACTGCTTGAATGGGAATGAATTCATTTGTAATGGACAGATTGGCTACTCCCATTTGTTTTCTTAAAAATAAATAGAGACAGCACAGTGTATTGCTCCCTGTTAATGAGGAAACTTCTTCAGAAATCCTTAATATAACTATAAATTATGAAGCGAAGAGATGCTTAAAAAGGAGACCGTCAAGACGAAAGTAGGAGAGGAAATGAAGAATTCAAGTTCCAAAAGGAGTAAGGAAAAATGTCAGTCTTGCTCAATATTGTAAGGAACCAGTCATATGATTGCTATATAGCAAGTGTTTAATGTTTACTGAATGAGTGAACAGGAAGGAGTAAAATAGAATGGAAAAAAAAAGTGGAACAAGGAAGCAGAAACGTAGAATGAAATATAAATATGCCATGAGGAAGTGGAAGATGGAAGGTCAAATGGAATAGCTCAAGTTAAATAGGTCCAAAGAATAATGCCAGCTTGACTATTAGTTTGTGCTGTCAATTCTTAAGTATGTTATTGAAACTCTATAAATATAAGAGAGCAGCAGTCTCACATTCTTGCTAGTGAAATACTATGAGATTGTGAATCTGAAGGCAGAATCCCCAAAGTAGCCCGATGCTTGAAGTGATGGTCAGAACCAGGGCGATTCTCACCCTACTCCTTTTGTTTGAAATTCACTTGCTGTGAAGACTCTTACAGAATTTCGTCTGCATAATCCTTGTAGTTTCAAATTCTGAAACCTTCATTGCCAAATAGTTTTTTAATCAATTCATCCTGGGAGAGATTTCTGTCACAGACCAGAATGAGATCTTATTTAGCATAAGGTGGGCAAGAATGGCTGAGTCATTGTAAGACTGATATTATAGGTCTAGCAAATGGGATTCAGAACTTCAGGAACTCAGAAAGGTTAAGGAAACTAGATCATGCTCTTCAGAATTCATTACAAGAAATTTTTGCTGGGGTACTGTCTATGCACTCCTGATAGGGAGAGTAAGGAGAAATGCTATAAAACTGTGCCTAAACCACAAGCAGGATAAAGTAGCAAAAGGCAAGGAAAACTTGGGCCATAAAGGGCTTTAGGTGAAAATTTTCAACATTGAGAGTAATTGATATATCCATTAAATAGCTCAGGGGCTGCTATCAGAGCAGCTGTAATAATAATTTTATTTATAAAACTCTCACTTCTTCTGAGGTGCTCAGGGCACTGTACAATAGCACTAAATAAATTAAATTAAAGCATGAAATATTATGGAAATGCAATGAAATCAACATCACTGAGGAGACAGGGAAACCCAAAAAGAAATAAAAGGAGGAAAATAAATAAATAAACACTTCTCTGCAAGAAAGCAGCACTTAGCAGGAGGATGCTTTTGAGAAAACAGGGGAAGAGTTAAGTTTCCTACCAAGGAAACAGACCCACTGTTGAGCTCTTCTTAATAGCACATAAGGATTCAAGCCCCATCTTCCATTTGGAGAATCTTGAACAAGATTTTCAAACCTCTAAGCCTCCATTTCCTCATCTAAAAAATACAGATGATAGTATTATCTAATGCTGAAAGTTATTAGGAGATTTGAATGAGATTTTACAAGGTAAACCTATTACTTACCACATACATGGTAACTACTCAATTGATGTTTGTTGTTGTTGTTGTTATTATTATTATTATTATTATTATTACCATTGTACCAAGGATGCAGGATGGAGGACAGAGACAGTGAATCAGGAAAAATCAGGTAAAATGAGGTAAAGTGGGATAAATGCCTGAACCAAGTCAGTAACAGCAAAGATGAAAAGTTATGTACAGGTAAGAGATATCTACAGGATCAGAAGACTTAAAGAGTGCTGCTACAGAAAGGAAGCAATCAAGGATGACCTCTAGGTCTCTATCCAGAACATGGAATATATAGTTGTGTCATCCTTCAAGATTGCTAATACAGAAGCAAGCAGAATTGGGTGGTAAGAGAGGCAAGGTGAGGTGAGATGATCTGTTTAATATGAGATATACTGAGGCATTTTCAAGAGGTGATTCCATTAGGTTCTTACAGATACCGGTTTACCAGTGTTGGATATAAAGAGGTGGCTATCATAAATGAGAAATCACAGTAGGAGAGGTCATGGACATGGGTGGATCCTTAAATATCATCTAACAAGAGCATAAATTCCACTCTATCATGGCTTCCTTTTGCAATGGAAGCTACAATGGAATTGAAACCAATGATAGAAAAAATAAAATAAAATATTTTGTCTAATAAAATTTGTACCATATTGGAAAAACTCAGAAACTTCTTCATAAGATAAATGCTAACACTCATCCATTGGGGTGTCAGCATTAAAAATGTCATGGCATCTACTTTGGTGATAAGATAAAAAGAATTTTGGGAGGCAAAACATAAAGTCCCCCATTAGTGATAAAATGCTAGATGAGCAAAATGGCAGCACTGCACTCACAGGCTGATTCTACCTGGGACAAACCAACCATCAGGTATGCTCTTCATAAACATTCAATGAGCCACCTGCAGGTGATGTCTGTTTAGTCAGGGTAGACTTGAATGACACATGCTATCTTTCATGAGTTTACAGTGTTATAAAAGAATGTTCTCTTTACTCATATAGTACTTCAAAAAATCCAAAGTTGATATTAATTGATGACTTCCACCTGAAATCATGAGAACGGGGTGAAATGTACTCTCCATAGAGTACAAGAAAGAAGAAAAGAAGGGTTGGGGACGGTGCAGAGAATGAGGAAGGAAGAAAAAGAATCCAGAAAAAGAGAAGAAGAAAAAAAAGAAAATAATTTATTATATACTGGGCTGGATTATGACACTGTTATATGTTATCATTTTATATTGTCACCTCACAACAACCTGCCAGATAGGATTTATTTTTGTCCTCATCTTACACATGAAAAAATTAAAGGCAACTGATTGTACAGCTATTATTCTAGTATAACTGTTTCTTAGCTTAAAATATCACCTACCATGTTGTTTTGTGTTTCCTCTACTTCCTTTAAGCAGTGGTGTGAGCTTGGATTAAGAGCCAGTTAACCTCTTGCATTTCATGTTTTCCCATCTGTAATATTAGAACAGTGGTTCTCAACAGGAGTGAACAATAAAAGCACACAGGGGTTTTAAAAAATAATGATATTATGGACTTTTCCCCCTAAAATGGAATGAAGATCTCTGGGGAAGATCAACATGGTGGTTTTTAACACTAGTCCAAGCAGCTACAATGCGCAGTGGAGGTTAGAATCACTGGCTAGATGGCCTCTGAGGCAGCTCCTGGCTCTGAACTGATTTGATCCCATGCCTGCTCTTGCACAGCCCATTCCTAATTGGAATCCAGTCCTCTGAGGGAGATTAACCCTGACCCTTTGCTCACAAAGGGAAGTTAGGGCCTGAGGTGAGCTGTGTATAGTGAGGCAGTCTGAAGTCTGACTCTCACTCTGCCACTTACTAATGTGTAACCTTACCCAGAATAGCTGGTTTTCTCTTTTCCCAAGTAAGGATAATAAGAACATCTATTGATCAAGACTGTTCTGAATATTAAATGAGATAGTATACATAAAGAGCTTCATCTATTTTCTGGTTTCTACATAATAGGATTTAAATAAGATATAGCTATAAATACTGATATCTTTGTATGATAAAAGTCTGCCTGCTACTGTTTGCCTGCAGTTGCCTTTAATAGTTCTGAGATGAGAAGTTATACTTATAATCCCCTTTGACCAGATCAGCCAAGTGTACCCCATAGTCATTTTGCCACACTGGGCCTCAGCATGGAAGAGAAGAGGCCTCTGGGCATAGTGGGGCTAGCAGACTCCTGGGCTCAGTTCATACTTTTGTGCTGAGTCCTCTGCTCTACCCCAAGAAATCTCCTCCTGCTGACATCTGGCCTGTGACCAGGCCAAAGCAGATGACGGTGGTGGAGAATCAAGTAGAGTATTGTTTCAGTCCTTTCAGAGTGACCCCACTTCTGCAGTCACCCCAGCCCAGGGTGAGTACCTTTACCCTGTATGGTCTTCAAATTCATTCTGAATGAGTACCACTTGTCTAGTATGCCCACGACCAGCTGTGAATTTCTTTTGGTTCATAAAAATAGAAACCTCACCTGACAAACTCACAAATACATTCGCCATAAACAGGTACCCACCAACTCCCCACAAAAACATTCACATACTCTCACATAACCACACACATTGCTTTAGGGACAGTGCACACAGACGCCACATATTTGAGTCTCAACAAAGAAATCTAAATATACTGCCTTCTCTCCATGCACTGAGAAAGAAAAATAATTCCTCTGGGGTTGGATGTAGGCTCCCCAGGGAAATGATACACTGTGAATACAACCACAGCTCAATTTCAAGATGTGTTTATTACGTGAAACAAAAAATAAAATAAATAAATAAAAGGCCATCTGATCATCTGATCCTCTTCATAAAGGTTATGTGACCTGAGTGTTGGAGGCAAAACCTGAGGGTCATTGAGAGAAGGACCAGCCCACTGCATAGGTCAGAGGTGCTGTGAGAGCCTAGGCAGTGGGATGGGAAGGAACAGAAGGCTGCAGAGCTATGTGCTGGGAGAATAAAACTGAGGGTAAACACCAAGGGAACCTGAGAAGAGGAAAAGGGGAAGGAGAGAAAGCAAAAGTAGAGGGAAGAAAGAACATTCTGAGAAATATGAGAAGAGAATGCACACACGCAAAAGAAGTCAGGGTACCAAGGGCAGAAGGTCAAAGTGAAGAATGGTCCTGGGGACACATCAGAGAAAGGACAATTGGAAAGAACACTTCCAGGAGAGTGAAACAAAACACCATGAACAAGAAAAGGGAAAAGATGAAAAACTACAATAGTCAGGAAACAAAAAAATATATCTCAGCAGCAATAAAGAAAAATAAATTGCTAGTAAGAGCAAATGAAAAACAACCCATTTCAGAAAGAACAATGCATATGCGCTCCACGCTGATGGCTTGTCTTCTAAATAAGGTGATCACTGTCGCCACAGTGCAAATTCATCTAGCAACTTAAATTGGATGGAGCTGAAAATATAGCATAGATGAGCTTTGACATCAAGTCCTCTTAACTCAGGGCAGTTCTGGGCAGCTGCCTAGGTGAGGCTGGATGGATAGGGTGACTCACCATTGAGGGGCCTTCTTGTCTTTGCATTGCTCTCTAATGTCCTCTTTTCAAAACTGTGTGAGAAGCCCTGAATAAGATTTGCTCTTTACTAAACTGGGTTACTATTGCCCTTAAGGAAAATTCCAAAGTCCACAGCCTGACATACAAGGTCCCTCTGGCTTCTCCTCACCTCTTGGGGTCTCACCTCTCACCCCTCCTTGCTCTTCCTAGCTCTTATGTGGGATGATTTACCTCCTCTTAGTGGGCCATGCTCCCAGTCATTCCTCTTCAGTGCTTGCAGATGCCATTATCGTCCAAGAGACTTCACCTTCTTACTTCAGCTCTCAGCACTGGTTGAGCTTCCATTTGAACATGTCCTGAGGTTCATAAAGGTCTCCACAGGCAGGGTCCTCTCTTGCACACTATCAGAGCACCTATACCCAACTGGTACTGGTCCCAACTCTTTCCTTACACTAAAATGAATTATTTACTTGTCTTATCACCCAGTTGCATGTTATTTCTTTGGAAGTAGGCTGGGTGTTTGTGTTCTACCCTAAATTTAGCACAATGCTTGATTTTAGTAGGAGCTCAGTAAATATTTGGTGAACAAATGAAGGATTTACTTGACAGATGCTTATTGCTTTACCCAAGGCCTTTGCTAAAAGGTGAGGTAAGAGTTTCTGTGTGTGTGGAAGTAGAGATGATGATCACCCTGACTTAGTTTATCTCCTATGTTCAACTGTCAAGCTCCTCCTCTGAGTGCCCAAGGCTGGCCTCCTTGATATGCCCCAAGGGTGCATCAGCCATCACCTATAGGACTAACCTTACTCTAAATTTAAGGAAGCTTTTGGCATGGAAAATCATTTGTCATGTGAACTTCAGAAAAAGGTAAAAAGAGTGTCTCAAATATGGTTGGTCAGCACCAACCAGGCTGAAAACTTTTCTTCCTGAAGAGAGGGAGGAAGTGGCTACTGTGTCTTAGTGTGTCACAATGAAGGATAAAAGCTAACAACTCTTTATAAAGGAGTTTAAAACAAAGTAGGAGAGTCTGGAGTAAGTCTGGGTTGACCCACTTAGGTGACCAGCTCTCATTTATGCCTTTATTTCGTGTCTTTCATTTGAACAACACAAAAGCAGCAAGCTCAGGGAGATGAAAATCTCACTATAATTAGAAGCATAGAACAAGTCTGCTCACCTTATTTGACACAGTTCCTACTATGGAGCATGAATGTAATTTAGGATTTGACGCAAGAAATGTTCCAAATCTGACTTTCATCTGGCCCTTAGGTTGACCAGGATAGGTATCTTGTGATTCCCAAGTCCATCTACACAAGGTCCCTTTATGAGTGCTTCAGGTCCAGGCAGTTGGGGGAGAAGTTCCTATCATTCCTTTCATTCTAGAAAATTTCTTTGAAGATTCCGAGGCAGGCAGCAAGAATGAGTGATAAGAGGTACATTGCAACATCTCATGTTTAGTATTCTCTGGACTTTTTCTCCTTTCTACTTCCAAATATTTTCTCCCATTTGAGTGCCCCTCCTCCAGTATTTATCCTAACTTATTTAAAGCTTTGTCCTTTGTTCACACAATCCTCATCTCCTCTGGATGACATCATTTCATTTCAATAATCCAAATGCCATCTTCTTAGAATTCCAAACTGAAAGAAAATCTGGCACGTTTTTTTCCCCTCATTTGTAGATGTACAAACTTAAATCTTTTACAAAGTTATAAACATTACATTTAATTTACTTTGAAACTTACCAAACCATACATTGAGAAGAACACATGTCTCCTTGGAATAGGACCGTCTGGGAAGACTGGGAGCATGTGGCTGCCAGACCCTGCCTGCCCTTCCTGGGTACACACCCTCCAGCCACTTATCAGCTGCTATTTGCAAGCACTTTGATCAGAGAGGAACAGAAGGGAATATGCATTTATACTGTGTTCTCATTTCCTATGTCTCCCTACCTCAAAACTACCTCTCTAATCTATCCTCCATTCTGATGCCCAAAGTCCTTCTGAAACTACTCATATAGTTTCCCAGTTCAAAACCTTCCTGCTTTTCCATTTCTTCCATAGTTTGTAGTTCATGGGCAACAGAGACCTGGCACTCTCCAGCTCTCCAGGCCATGGTGCTCTCCAGTAGCTCCTACGTTTTTCATTGAGCCACTGGTACTAGGACTCCTAACTCCTTCCTGCTATGTGTTTTCCCCCCTTTTAATCTAGAACACTAGTCCCTTTTGTCACCTTGCTAAGACAATCCATGGTGCCAAATTCAGCTTAATGTCTCTGGGTCTGAGAATGGATTGACCAAATTATTTGGATAGAAATGATAGCAAAATTCATATTCTTTCACTTTATCAAAAAAACAGAAGAAAAAAACTGAAATAAAAATGATAATGTTCATTTAATGTAGGTCTTTGTTTTCATCCATTTACTTATTGGGTAAGTACTTATTGTGATCCTACTGTTTCCAAACAGTTGGAAGCAAGAGAAAACAAAGCTGGCCAAGTGTCTACTCTCTCCAGGAGTGAATGTTCAGTGGGAGTAAAACTGAATATACCCCTTAACTCAAAATGTATATTATTCCCATAGAATATCTGTGTTATGAAGACAAATAAAGGAAGGAAGTGCTAGGGAGTGATAATCAAGGAGGGAACACTATTTTACACAGGTGATCAATAAGATCCCTGCCCTGTGAAAACCTTAATGAAAAAGAGAGAACTTCAAGGACTGGGGTACAGGAACCAGCAAGAGATCCACAGGACTCTGAGCTAGGAGCTCATTGGTGTAGTCCACGAACATCAAGGTGAGGTGGAGGGAGGGTAGGAAAGAGGCAATATGTTTTGGATGGGTCAGACCAATGCCAGAGGCTGGCCTGTATAAGGCCCTTGAGTCTATGATACAGACTTTGGGTTTCACTCTATGAGAGTCAGGAAGCAACTCACTGGGAGGTTTGATCAAAGAAATAAAAACATCTTATAGTCCTTACCATACACTAAAGTCCTTGAAGTTTTCTCATCTTCATTAAGATTTTGATCACCTGTGTAAAATAGAGTTCCCACCTTGCTTATGCTAGGGAGTCCTAGCACTTCCTTCCTTTATTTGTCTTCATAACACAGATATTCTATAGGAATAATATACATTTTGAGTTAAGTGGTATATTCAGTTTTACTCCCACTGAACATTCACTCCTGGAGAGAGTAGACACTTGGCCAGCTTTGTTTTCTCTTGCTTCCAACTATTTGGAAACAGTAGGATTACAATAAGAAAATCTATAAAAATATTCACTCTCTGGACTGAATGTATAGAACAAATGATAATGACTAAGAGTGGGAAGGAAAAGAAAAAATAAAAGACTAGGTAGGTAAAAAAGAAAAGTGGGGCTAAGTATGGGGAGAAGAGGTTAGATTCCAATAAACTTCAAAATGTAGCAAAATTAACCAGATCTTCCCAAGAATAAGGAAAATATGGGAGAAGAAAAGAGTGAAATGGAAGCTGAACCCTAGGTATGAGCTTCTATAAGGATGGAGTTGTCATTTCCTGAATGCAAAGAATATAGGAAGAAAAGATTGGGGGTGGGTGGGTGATGAGCATGGATTAAAGAGCTTTATTTTGTATATTTTGAATTTGAGATGCCTATAAGACAAATAGTGGAGTTAAAGTCCAAATGCTGGTCCCCCATCCAAGGTAACAAGAGACCAATTAGGGATTTTTATCTTCAACTCTCTTCTCATGTCCCCAAAGTAAATCTCATAGTCTGATGCTAGATAATCTCTTTGATGACTATCAGTAATGTCTGTTTGGCTGACAAGTTCCTCTGTGCCATGCTCCCATCCTCTAGAGTCCTAAGTGCAATCATTTCAACATCAAAAAAAAAAAAATACAGTCTTAGTACCAAAGTGTTAATGAGCAACTTCTATAGATATTCCAAAGACAAGGAACCAATATCTCCATTATATCTGCATGTCAAGGTGGATCACTAAAGAGATATCTTTGAAAAAAATAGTCATCACTCAGAATCTATATATAAGACCCCTTAGGATACCAAAATCCACAGATACTGAAGTCCCTTATGTAAAATGTCAGTATTTGCATAGAACCTGCATATATTCTCCCACATACTGAAAATCATCTCTAGATTATTTATAATATCTAATTCAATGTAAATGCTATGTAAATAGTATTCATATATATATATATATATATATATATATATATATATATATATATATATATATATATATATATATGGTTTAGAGAATAATGACAAGACAAGTCTGTACATATTAAAGACAAATTAAATTTTTTTCTAAGTTAGATATTTTTAAAAGGATAAATACAACAATAATCATTCATTGTTTTAATGACTACTGTGAGTCACTTCTTGGGAAGTGGTGTGGACTGACAGTTACAGCTAGCATCTTTCCTGAGAAAACAAGCCAATGTCAGATGAGCCTGTGACCTGGCGAAGGCCTAACTGGGGTTGGAGGGCTGTGCTTTCTTGGTGGTTCCCTCATGGCTGGTAAGTTCCCTGTGACTCTTAGAGGGAGGCTTCAGTTCCTTTCTGTGGGTCTCCCCAGGGCTATTTGAATGTCCTCACAGCAAGGCAGTTGGAATTGCCAGAACAGAAGCTGCATTTTTTTTTAAATAAATGGCTAGAGAGCAACTATTTTCAGCATTGTTGGCTACATCAAGTCTCTAACATATTCTTCTTCTTTTTTTTAACCATATTCTAAAAATATAAAACAGAACAATCCTAGCTTATAAGTCCTAACAAAATAAACTGGATTTGACCCAAAGGCCCTAATTTGCTGATCACGTTCCTAGAGCAAGCAATCTAAGTGATGAAGGTTGAAAGCTGCCTTGTTTATACAGGCCTGGCCTGTGAAGTCATACACTCCATCTTTTATGATACAGGGTTGGTGAAATTTGTGGATATGGAACTGAGGAACTCAAAGATATGAAGGACTGAATGTTAAGAAAATCAGTCTGCTCCAAAGATGAGTCTAACTGTCACAGAGACAAATTTAAATTTCTGGGAGATTAAGAATACCAGGGTTTTCTCTACTTTCAGCCATAAAGGATGTGAAATATTAAAATCAGTGTACGTGTAAGTTTTATGTTGCTGCTATAACGAATTTCTACAGATTTTATGTTTAAACAACAGATCTCTATTCTTCCATAGTTTTGGAGGCCATAGGTCCAAATCACTTCCACTGGGCTGAAATCAAGGCATCAATGCTTCCTCTGGAAGCCATAGAGAAAATTCTTTGCCATGATTCCTCCAGCTTTTGGTGGCTGCTGACATCCCTTGGTTCAGGACCACATCACTCCAATCTTCAAGATCAAAATTATTAAATCTTCATTTGCTTTCTCTTCTGTGTATGTCTCTGATAAACCGCCCCTAACTCTCAGAGTACACATAGGACTGTATTTAGGGTCCAAAATAATCTCATCTTAAACTTGTAATTTAATTACATCTGCAAAGACACTCTCATACAAGGCCTATTCTCATTTCTTTGGGATTAGGATCTTCTATCTTTGCTTGGCCATTTTCCAGTCTACTACAATCATTACTGAACAAAAACACAGTGAACAACTTTAATTATTTTTAAAAGAAACTTTATAGATTAATTCATTACCCAACAAATAGTCCCTGTACTCCTATTAAGTTCCAGGCTCTGGGTATAGAATACAAAGGAGATATATCTCCTTCCCTCAGGAAAGTATATATAATAATCTATTAATCACACAAACAGATGCACAATTTTCCCTATGGCAGGAACCAGCAAGGACAGAGCTTTAGCTCTTGGAAGAGGTAGAGGGCAGGGGTTAACCCAAGTCAGCAGGTCTGGGAAAGGCTTTCTATGGAAGAGGCATTTGAGATAATGTGTGAAGGATAAACAGGGTGAGTTGAATGAAAAGAGGAAAAGAATTTCAGGAAGAGAGGCAATATATATAATGGGTCTGTGACCAGAAAGAGCAAGAATAGTAAAATAAACTAAGACAAAAAATAATTAGTCAGGGACATGACAGGAGTCAAGAAAGGAGGTTCCCTGGATTCAGACCCCTGGGCTAATCAACTGCTTGATAAGAACTGGCTCTCTTGATCTAAGTAAGGAAAAGACCTAGAGGGTCCATCATGTTTGAAAGTCTAGTTTGGCTGCAAGTTCAGAAAGAATGAGTGAGAGTAGTAAAGTGGATGTG